CCACTGTTAAGCTGCTACTTGCCAATTAGCTCAGAGTGGTAGATGACTGTCTTAGGTTCCAGAGGTTGTGGATTCAAGCCTCAACTGGTGCAGAATCCACATTGTAACGTAATCATCTTCTTGTGCTCCAGCTTATTGCTTAAAATTGCCTGAGCGTGACTGATCACTGTGCAGCATCTTCAAGTCGTTTTTCTGCTAGAAAATCTGCCTTCTCGTGCTTGAAAATAAACTAAACTTTGCACAAAGATCCAGTGTCAAACCATCTGAAGCTTCTCACTTTGCACATAGCTCAACTAGTTAAACATCAGTTTTTCACTTATGGAGCAAATCAATCATTGTTAAAATAAATTACCAACATCTCCATGCTGTCTAGATGCAATATATGTGTATTTTCAGATTTTTGTTTCGATAACTGAATTTTTTACAGTGGTTTGAAATCTGCTTTTCCATGCATGGACGGCTGCTAAACCTGCACGTCTGGCTTAGTCAAATTGTGAAGCTACACATGAATTGTCACTGACTAATTAGCTCAGTGAGACAGAAACTGATCCTTAGTCTCTGAGGTTGTGAGTTCAAGCCTCAGCTGATGCAAAAAGCAGATTGTGTTACTAAATTCCTAAATGTCTTCCATTCTTCTGCTTGTTGCTCAGAATTGCCTAAAAATGCCCAGACCCGACCCATCACTGCGCAGCAGCTATAATTTGTTTTTAGTCTTGTGTTACTGTAAGTGTCTCGGTACAGTGGAGTGTTTAAGGCTGTGTTCACTTTAAGTAGCAGTAGTTGTTGTTGGCAGTAGTCACTGTTGTTTCATACCTGCTTGCGACATGAAAATAATCTTTGAAATATTTCACTGGCTCAGTTTGGCTGACAAGTTTACTTTAGGGTGACAAGTTTCTGAGGGGTTAGCAGGGTTGTGGTTAGAGTGGTTGCACAATCCTAGGGGTCACCTGAGCTCTTAGTTTCAGAGTTGTTAAGGTCACAATGTGAGTCACTGACCCACCTGGCCACCATGAGAGTCGTAAGGGTCAGATGGTACCAGGGGTGAATGGGTGTGAAGTTGTCTGGGGAGGGAAAACCATTTTTCCTCCCTGGCCAAGATGTGCACATTGCTGTCCTCAATGGAGTGTCCCTTCTCCTGTAGATGTAAGTGGACAGCCAAGTCTTGACCTGAGGAGGTGGCTCCCCTGTGCTATGACCTGCGCTTGTGGAGTGGTTGTTTTGTCTCCCCAACGTATAAATCTGTGCATTCCTGGCTGCACTGAACTGCATGCACTACATTACTCTGCTCATATCTGGGTGTTTTGTTCTTGGGGTGGACAAGTTTCTGTCTCAGTGTGTTACTGGGTTTAAAGTCACAGGGATGTGGTGTTTGTTTCTCAGACACTCCTGCGACACAAGGAATGACAATATCCTGTGTTTGCCTACAGTTGCCTACGATATAGCACTGACGATGACCATGACCTGGATGACTGAGAATCTTCACCAACAAACATATAGAGTGCTGTTCTTTTTCGCTGTTGAATAGTGCGAGCTGACTCTAACTTTATTTATTTTTTCTTTACTTTCAGGCAGCTTTCTTCACAGCCACCTTCCCCTACGTTATGCTGCTGATTTTGCTCATACGTGGTGTTACCCTACCAGGGGCATTGGACGGGATCATTTACTACCTCTACCCTGATATCTCCCGCCTTTATGATCCCCAGGTAAGAACACAGATGTGATCTTTGGAGCAGGACCGCTATATTATGTCTTCTGCACAGAGTAATGTTCATACCCACATGACTTTGTTGACAAAAGGAAATGTTGGCATAGTACATTTCTGCAAACCACGGATATTTTACATTTCCATGATGTACATATCAACATTTCAAGAGACATAGTTCTGTATACATGTATATGAGCTAACTTTGTCATCAGAAAGAGATGGTGGATGGTGTGACATCGAGGTGAGGTGCCAAGCTGCAGACCACCCACAAAAACTGGGTATTTATGAGCGAGACAATGGAGGCATGGTCAGCTGCAATCGTGCCACCAAAACCTAGTGTTTTTAGCAAGATGTCTGCAGCATTTGTAGCACTGATTGTACCACTGAAACTGGGTGATTTATAGCAAGACAACGAAGGCATTTCTAGCAGCAATTGTGCCACCAAACGTAATGTTTTTTAAGGAGACATCCACAGCTTTCCAGCTGCATTGTCACTAAACATGGTGTTTTTAGCAAGACATCCATGGCATTTCCAGCTGTGATTGTGACCAAAACTGACTGATTTTTAGCAAGACATCGATTGCATTTCTAGCTGCAATTAAGGTATAAAATCTGGGTGTTTTTTAGCAAGACATCCACAGCATACAGCCACAATTGTGCCACTACAATGGATTGTTTTTTGCAAGACATTAGCAGCATTTCCAGCAGTGATTTTGCCACCAAAACTGGGTGTGTTTTAGTGAGATATCCATGGCATTTCCAGCTGTAATTGTGCCACCAAAACTGACTGATTTTTAGCAAGACATCAATAGCATTTTCTAGCTGCAATTAAGGCATAAAATCTGGGTGTTTTTTTAGCAAGACATCCACGGCATTCAGCCACATATGTGCCACTACAATGGGTTGTTTTTTGCGAGACATTGGCGGCATTTCCAGGAGTGATTTTGCCACCAAAACAGGGTGTTTTCAGCAAGACATCTGCTGCATTTCTGGTTGTAATTGTGCCACCAAAACTGGTCGATTTTAGCAAGACTTTGATAGCATTTCAAGCTGTGATTAAGGCATAAAATCTGCAACATTTTCAGCCACACTTGCTGCACTAAAATGGGGTGTTTCTTAGCAAGACATCCACAGCATACAGCCACAATTGTGCCACTACAATGGATTGTTTTTTACAGGACATTAGCGGCATTTCCAGCAGTGATTTTGATACCAAAACAGGATGTTTTCAGCTAGACATCTGCTGCATTTCTGGCTGCAATCGTGCCATTGAAACTGGTCGATTTTAGCAAGACTTTGATAGCATTTCAAGCTGTGATTAAGGCATAAAATCTGCAACATTTTCAGCCACACTTGCTGCACTAAAATGGGGTGTTTTTTTAGCAAGACATCCACGGCATTCAGCCACAATTGTGCCACTACAATGGATTGTTTTTTGCAAGACATTAGCAGCATTTCCAGCAGTGATTTTGCCACCAAAACTAGGTGTGTTTTAGTGAGATATCCATGGCATTTCCAGCTGTGATTGTGCCACCAAAACTGACTGATTTTTAGCAAGACATCGATAGCATTTCTAGCTGCAATTAAGGCATAAAATCTGGGTGTTTTTTTAGCAAGACACACACAGCATACAGCCATAATTGTGCCACTACAATGGGTTGTTTTTTGCAAGACAGCTGCATTTCCAGCAGTGATTTTGCCACCAAAACTGGGTGTGTTTTAGTGAGACATCAGTGGTGTTTCCAGTTGCAATTGTGCCTCTAAAACTGTGCGATTCTTAGCAACACAATGTTATTGAAATGTTGTTTCAGCATATTCGCCACATAACTACATGTTAATGTTACATATCCATGGTTTGCAGATGCTAATGCAAATGGCAACATATATTCTGGTGACTGGATTGAAATTGTTGGACCTTTTCAGGTGTGGATGGATGCTGGCACTCAGATCTTCTTCTCCTATGCCATCGGCCTTGGGTTCCTAACCTCTCTTGGGAGTTACAACACTTACAACAATGACTGTTACAGGTAAGATCAGTCTGTCAAAACTTAAGTGCTGCAACACCAAGGAGTAAAACAAATTGAGTTTAAATCAGTTCATGGGTCACTAATTAACGTTAGCAAGTGAAATAAGCATGGACTTCTGCTACACTTTGAATCCTTTCATTCACTCCTCAACTGCTTACACATTTCTGTACTCACTGTATTCATTTTTCTTTCAGGGACTGTTTTTTCTTGTGTCTGCTAAACAGTGCAACCAGCATTGTATCAGGCTTTGCCATTTTCTCTGTTTTGGGTTTCATGACCAAAGAACAAGGAGTGGATATTTCTGAAGTAGCCGAATCAGGCAAGTATGGACTTAGCGAAGTTCAACTTCATAGTCAGCAGTAGAGTGAAAAACAGATATAACATATTTCCTGTTCAGCTTGTTGGGGGGGCTTTTAGTATAAATCGCGACACACCGCACCTGCTTAGTGTTACCTTTTCACCCTGTGTGGAAAACTGTGCCAAATCATGCCAGGAATCTTCATCCGTGTCCTCTGATCTTTCCAACCTAAGAAGCTTACTGGCAGACCTGATACAGCTTCTTCTGTCATCGTTTTTTTTCCTTCTTCAGCTTTCACTTCACCTGAGTGTGATTACTGGTAACAAGCAGGCAGCAGGAATTCAAAGCAGAGGACAAAACAAAAAAAGGTTAATGATTTAGGTTTGGCATTAATCATGACATTAATTGTGGAAAATCATGAATCTCTGAGTTACTTTGACATTTTTGGCAACCACTCAGGATTATAACTGCACTGACGCACCTCAGATGCTCAAATTTGTCGCATGACTTGTAGACATTTGCAGCTGAAGTGTGAAGGCAGAATATTAAAACATTCACACCTTTCTTGGCTTAACATTATTCCTGCTTAGCTTTGTCAAATCAAGCATCTTAGCATGCTGACGTTAGCATTAGCTCAAAGCACCATAAATGTTAGTGAGATTAGTTAGATTTTAAATTGGAAAACATCGTCAAGGCTAAGATTTTAACTATTTAAACTAATGATGCTGCAACATTCCCAGTTCTTCTTTACTTACCAATGTTTTCAGTCTTTTCTTTCTTGACGTGACATTACAAATGTTCAATTTATCAAATTGTCTTCCACCATTTATTTTAACATTCTTTAAATCAGATTTAATCACTCATAAGCTTATGGAATTCACATATTTAAAAGAGAGAAAATCCTCAATATACGAAAAGTGAAAATCGCACACACACAGGTGATATTCTTGTGTGTTGCCCAATCATTTATGTTTGCGTTATATCTCATTACAATCTTTGTGTGTACTGTAGGTCCAGGGTTGGCATTCATTGTCTACCCACGTGCTGTAGCCATGATGCCCATGCCACAGGTCTGGTCGGTGTGTTTCTTCCTTATGATTATTCTGCTCGGATTGGACAGTCAGGTACCAGCCAAACCTCTCTGAATAAATAAATGAAGGATTGAATGGATGAACGAAGGCCCTGATTCTCTTTCCTCTCACTTCCAGTTTGTTGGTCTGGAGTGTCTGATGACATCACTGACTGATCTGTTCCCGTCTTACCTGCGCCAAGGCGTTAGACGTGAGCTGGTTCTGCTGGGTATCTGCAGTACCTGCTGTTTGCTCGGACTCTCCCTGGTCACTGAGGTTAGTACTGCACACTCGGAGTGAGACAGTTAGCAAAACAATTCCGTATTATTGCACCCAATGTGCAATAGTGGCACAATGTTACAGGAGGCACAGCAGAGAAAGCAGTGGATAGAGGTCAATCTAAGTTACACATAAAGTGATTTAAAAGATTATACAAAGACTAAGAACTTCTGTCTTACGGTAACAAAATCCACCAAAGGGTGTCTCTAAAGTGCACAAATTAATGCATTGTATTTTTACTTTAATATGCACTAAGCAATGAAGTATAACAATATCCATTTATTGTTTTTATGAGTGGTTAAATGCTGGACTTAATCTTGGTCTGGAGCAGTCACTGCTTGGCTGCCAATCTAGCTGTTTCCTGTCCAGTCTTTACGCTAAGCCACGCAAATCGGCTGTAGGCTCCTTCCCCATGTTTAAGGGACATCACACTCAAGGCAAGAAATTAATTTCTTGGTTACTGTGGATGGAAAATTAGACACCTGCCAAATGCTGCTATTTCTTTCCCGTTGTGTGCACTACAACACTGTCTGCCAGAATGGATCCTGTGCTCTGTAGCTACAATGTTACAAAGGTACAAAGAGATTAAACTTTTCACCCATTCTGAACCCTGTGACCCTTGCAGTCTGAATGCAAGGCCACTTTGAAAAAATGTAAGGCTTTAAAGATGCATTTGATTAGACTGGGCTTATTGGGCAAAACAAGTTGCAGAACTGCAGTATTATGAGGTTCTTGGGCCCACTGTGGTCATTGAATCCCAAGAATAGCATGTTTTGTCCATTAAACGGAATGCAGAACTTTTGTTTTCCTCTCTGGAAGTTAGAGAAATTACATTAACACTGTGGACACGTGCTTATGACTATGCAGCAAACTGTGGGACTAACAAATTAAGCTAGCGAGGAAGTGCCCAGAATCCAGTCAGTCCCCATAGACCCCCATGTTAAAATGCCCAGCAGTACAGCAGGAATAAACATGTTTACAGCCTGGTCGGAAGAAGACAAAAAAAACGGTTTTGGTCTATATAGCTAATTTTCAACTTCGGAAAACTGTTCCCATTTACATTTTATAAACGCTTAAAGTTACGCATAATTAAGGGTGAGCTGCTTTGAGTGACAGCTGTCTACCGATAGCGTCCTCGGCTTCTCAGTCAGATCCACCCCTCGCTCCTCCACAGCGCCAGCTTCACGCCCAAAAATGGTCACTTCTGGATGTGGATGTCCAAAGTGTCAAATTTGAGGCTTTCAAACAGAAGTCCACAAAGCATTGGGAGACGGTAGCTACATCCATTGTTTTTAAGGTCTGTGTTTATGACATTCATGTGGATTTCATGTGAGCTTGGCATATCTAAAAATTGGCCCCAGATGTACTCAGACCTATCTCTGTTGCTCTGCTGGAGGGCTTGAAGGAAAGCCTGCCAAATCCTCAAGCACAGGCTAGCCAGTTCTTTGAGGTTACTATATAACACTAATTAATCTTTCTCACTTTAGGAATCATAGTCTTTAGTATAAAAGCCAAAAGGAGTGGCAGAGCTGTCAAATAGCTTCATCTCACAACAGCCATGATGTGAAGATGGAGGTTACGTAATATTTAAAAAGGCCAAGGCTGACTTGGTTTCACACGGAACACAAACAGAGGTCTCTGTGGTCAAAGTCCTGTGTCCACATACCCTCCTTTGCACCCATCATGTGAGGAAGGACCAACCCAGGCTCACTCCTAACTCATCCAGTACCGACATTTGCTCAGTGGCTCTCAGTGTCAGACACCGACATACCCTATAGCGGTGGTATGAGACGCACAGGGCAGCAACGTGTTTTGACACTCTAGGCAACTAGTGTAGTAAAAGAGAGTCCACATAGGGCAGTAGGAAGGAGAGGTGGATGGGTCAAAGAAACTCAAGACTTCTACCAGGAGGCTGCTGTTCATGTTCCATGTGAAATCAAAATTCATTTGAGTTATTTTGATAACAACATGGTGAGATTATGTGAAATTACGTTATGTTGGTAACAAACAGTTATTTTAAGCCAAACCATGATGTTGTTTTCTCCACCTGAACATGTACTCAAGTTGCCTAAACCTAAGGCAGTAAACTTAAAATGTTTTTTACCTATCTTCTATGTTTATTTTGAAAAGAGACTGTCTGCATTTAACAAGCAAAAACTGTACATTTCCTGTGAAAATGAATTTGAAAAGACACAACAAGTAACAAGTATAAATTGACATGCTTTCCCTGTGCATCTGAAACTGACGCAGGAGGGGTGCCTAGGGCGTCATATTTTGAAGTGTAACGCCACTGACCAAGTGTTGGTGTATGACGAGTTTAGAGTGAGAGTGAGCTGCAACCAAAGCTAATGCTAATCAGATTATAAAAAGGACCCTTTTGAAGCTCATGCCCATGTTTTAAGCTTACTTTGCTGGTTAATATGAAGAGGCTGATTATGTTGTGGGTTCAGTGTTGTAAGACAACAGTTAATAGTTCCATCCTTGTTCTTAGGGAGGGATGTACCTGCTCCAGCTGTTGGACCATCACGTCTGTAGCGGCACCACCCTGATCCTCCTCTCTCTCTGCCAGTCCGTCAGCATTGCCTGGGTGTACGGTAAGTCAAAGATAATTCAACCAACCATGCACAGACTACGTCCTCTTGACAAACAGACACAACTCTTCTTCAGATTATGATAAACTTATAACCTTTTTTTAACGGGGCAACAACCACTGTATGCACGCATGGTATGCCTATAAATTCATCTCAAAGCTGAGGTTGTACTTTCTAATATCTTTCCTTTCCCTAAAGGTGCTGACCGTTTCTATGGCAACATCACGGACATGATCGGTTATCGCCCGTATCCAGTGATGAAATACTGCTGGAGCTACATCACTCCCCTCTTCTGTTTCGTAAGAGTCCTTTCATTCACTCCGTGTGTTGGTATCTTGCTCATGCCTGTTTCCCTTTGATGAATGATACATATGTATACATCCATGGGAGAAAAGGAGGACCAACCACAGTTAGAATTATGTGCATATTAATCACAGGCAATGCACATATCGTCTTACCTCTTTCCCTTTTCACCCTTGAAGCTAACTTGCAATCCTTCCCAGCAGAACTTTACACCCCAGTGCCCCCATTTAACTGGTGTAAATATGCATCAGATTCATGAAAGGATTTATATTTATGTTCTAATTATATTCCCTCCCCCTGTGGTTCTGTATGACTTGCAAGGTTAAAGTTAAGTCGCTGTCTTGTCTTCTGCACGTAACAGTTATGTAAATACAGACCGCGATGTAACAGTCTGTCTCCTCTAACCACAGGGCACGTTCATCTTCTCCATTGTCAAATACTCCCCGCTGAAGTTCAGCAACACTTATGTTTATCCACTCTGGGCCAACATCTTGGGCTGGTTTATTGCCACTGTCTCGCTCTCCCTCATCCCGCTGTTTGTGATATATAAAATGATGCATGGAAAAGGAACTCTTCGGCAGGTGAGCACAGGCATCTTGTTTCTCTTTGAATTGTAAAAGCACTGTTTAGTAATATTACTCAAAAAAATACAATGGAAAGCTGAGCATCTGACAAAACTAACCACTGACACACTTGTTGATCATTCAAACTTTTAGCCCTGGATATAGATGACGCTCATTTTGTGTTTGTTGCCAGTGCAAATCCAACTGTGCTCACATATGATTTATGAAGTAAACAGTGCTTAAAATGTGCTTTGATATGGTTAAAGGTTGTTTGAGTGCGCGTTCCATTATTCACAGAGAGCACTGTGATCTGGATGACTGACATAGTTAAATGTGTTTGTGTTGGCCACTCTCAAACCTTGGCTGTACATCTTAGTGTATACAACAGGATTCCTGGCCTCTCACCAGGATTTCTCAAAATAGGATTTCTCAGAAACTCTACTATATGCATGGCTTACAGACAAAACTTGTGGGATGCTACTCGAAAAAACAAATGAACTTTTGTTTTGGAATGAAATCAATCTTGCAGTCGCAGTGTAAGCCTGGCAGTGGTGAAAGGTAACAAAGCACAGTTATTCAACTGCCACATTTAATATGATTTACCATTTTCCATATATTTGCTACATTTCAGAGGCACATATATACATTTTACTCTTTTATGTATTTGACAACATAATTAACTTTACTAATCCCTGGGGGGAAATCCAGAAGCTTCCCAACTCAGTAGTTAAACTAACCCCGCCTTACCAGCTATCACATTAAAGTGATTTACAGTATGTTTACACTAATGCATCAATAATGAGAATCCATTTTTCATAATGGGTACTTTCATTATTGTCACTTTAGGTATATTTACCTGAGACCTGAGTCTTGTAAATATATAGTCTCATAAAAAAATTGAAAACGAACAATGACTGGATTATTGATTATGTGTGTTTGTACATGTGTCTCATTCCTCTGTGTCACAGAGCTCCACTGTTGTAGAAACTATCAGAAACACACTAGCCACATAGTTGCACTGTTGTCACATCCATTCATTACAATGAATGATCATTTCAATTTAATCCCACATGCACTGTCCTGCTGCTGTAAATGCTCCCCAGTATAGAAAATATGTACTGATCCACAGCTCATCATAGTCCCAAGCAATTGCAAGAATTATTATTAGGATAGCAAACAAACAAATTATAATAATACAAAAAGACAAACAAAAAGAGTGTGGTATGTGCAAAATTGCCAGTCTCATCTTCTTTTTTCTCTTTCCCTAATACCCTCCACATACACTCCTCTCTTGCTTTTCCCTAATGTTGGATTCTTTTTATTCATTTATTATTTCATTTATTTGATGGGGTCAGGGGCTTTGGGTGGCCACCTATGTCACCCACAAGTACATTCACCACTGGTGCCCAGCTGTTTTAGTATTACTTTTTTTTTTTAACTGAAATTATTTACCAGTGATCTATTTTTAACGATGTCCTCAGATGGAACGAATAGGCTTGGAGCTTAGAGCCATAAAGTCAGAAAGTATTGAGGCATGGACTAACGCATTGTTATATAGAATATCACCCATAGACTTTTTAAGCCTTAAATTCAGCATTATGGCTGTCACCATCTTGGTTTTTGGTGCCAGAATTGATCATATTTCGGCAAAAGGATGGCATTGTGAAGGAGCTAGGGGTGGATCTTGCCAGGAAGGGGGAAATTAGATATAGAGACCAAAACTGTTTTTTGTACCAGGCTGTAAACATCTGCTGTAAAGTTGGGCATTTTGACATGAGAGTCCACGGGGATTGACTGGCTTCTGGAGCCAGCCTCAAGTGGCCGTTCACAGAACTGCAGTTCATGGTACTTCCATGTTGGCTTCATTTTCCAGCCCTGGTTGGTGCTTGATGCCACCACTCCCATCATTTACTACACAGATACATTAAGCAGTTTTTTGTCGGTCGGTTGTACTTTATCGACTTATTATTGCATCATATTGGTTGGGTGTAAGCATGTCACTGTTTTTTTTTTTAAGGTTCCACAACACTCATGACAGTTGAGTACAACAAAGCATAGGCTTGTCCAAAGTAGTGCAAATTAAAAAACTTCAAATTGCTATATATATATAGTAATGATAAATAAATTTAAAAAAAAATTGAAGAAGTTGTAATAAAAATATAATAAAGGTGATTAAGTATAATGTGCAAAATTGTTTTAAAAAGGCAAATCATTTCTACTGTACACTATCATCATATGAACATAAAGGCGTAATAGTGCACATAAAAATCTGTCCTAATATGCACAGGACACAGTGTGTTATCCTCAGCTATTCAATGAATTTCTTTTCACTCTTGTATCTCTTTTTCTTCAGCGATTCTTGTTGCTCTGCCAACCTGTGGAGGACCTCCCCTTGGATCAAAAATATCCTCATACACCTGCAACCAGTAGCACTGCTGCCCACACAGATCTCAAACCTTTTGCCGAAAATGGGGAACTCACTCGGTGAACACAAACACGAGTTCTTCAACAGCAATAATATATTGTAAAGTCATTCCAGAACATGTCTCAGGGGGTGCATTCTTGCATTTGTTTCTGCAGTGAAGCAATCTCAGACCCTGACGGACTGCTCTAGCTTTTTCAAAAGAAATTTGACAAATACCTTTAATATTTAAGTTTAAGAGTGGGAAGAAAGTAAAGGACTTTGATTATTATCTTTTGTTTTAATCCAAACTTTCACATTAAGCCGTCTGATAGATTCAGGTCCTTGCCTCAACACCAACTCAACACCACTACAGTTATTAGCTTAACTAACTTTTAAAAAATGTAACCTTACAGGAATAATCAGATTGTCTCATTTGTTAAGGAAGAATTTAAATTGTTTCTAAAGAATATGGACTTCACAGGTTCACAGCTGTAAATGGATTCTGTGATTCAGTATACATGCAAGCATGCCAACATCTCAAAGGCCAGTTTGCTGATCACTTTCTGACATGTTACACTTGAATGTATGCATTTTTTATGGTTTTTCCTCCTGTGTTTTGCAAAATATTGACCAAGATAGCATTATACTGTTTAACTGTGCATGAAACATTAGCCCATTTTGTATGTTAGAACATTTACTGCCAGTGTTCTCTTAATCATTCACTCAGACATGTTGGCAACCTTGCTCCATGTAGTGTTGCTATGTATTTGTATCTACATAAATATCATGTGTGGGATGTATGCATCCTATATAGTGCAACATAAATCTTTATATAACCTCTTATACCTCTTCAAACTATAAGTGCCTTAAGTCTTTTTTTTCTGTTCTTGCTCTCTGTAAAGTGTCTTTGAGTATCCTGAAAAGCGCTGTATAAATCCAGTGTATTATTATTAATATTAAGACAACTTATTTAGGTTTATCAGCTTGATATAAAGGTAGGTGTGGGTTTCTACAGCTACAGAATAGAATATTTAACGTAGTTCTACCCAGGTATAGCCATTTATACTGGACTGTCAGTCAAGAACACATATTTTCACTATCATTTACACAGGAACAAGGGGCCAGATGTACAGTCATGTGAAAAAATTAGGACACCCCATTAAATATTCAGTTCTTTAATAACAAATGTTCACATATCGATGTTTGATCTTGTTTTTCTTTATCTCTGGGAAAGAAGGTGATTTAATTGCAGGTAAACAACAAAAGTTAACCTTGTTTTACTCATTAAACAAAAGATATCAATAAAAATGCATATTCTAACTGAGGAAAAAGTTAGGACACCCTACCCCCTAATAACTAGTGTTACCCCCTTTGGCTGAAATAACTTCAGTGAGACGCTTCTTGTAGCCGTCTACCAGTCTCTGACATCGGTCTGAGGAGAGTTTGCCCCACTCCTCAATGCAGAATTCTTTCAGCTGTGAGATGTTTGAGGGGTTTCTTACATGTACAGCCCGTTTCAAGTCACCCCACAGCATCTCAATGGGATTAAGATCTGGGCTTTGACTCGGCCATTCCAGGACTCTCCATTTCTTAGTTTTCAGCCAGTCCTTGGTGGATTTACTGGTATGTTTTGGGTCATTGTCATGTTGCAGGGTCCAGTTCCGCTTCAGCTTTAATTTTTTTACAGATGGTCTCACATGTTCATCAAGCACCCTCTGATAGACGATAGAATTCATGGTGGATTCTATGATGGTGAGCTGGCCAGGTCCTGCTGCAGCAAAGCATCCCCACACCATGACACTTCCACCTCCATGCTTCACAGTTGGTATGAGGTTCTTTTCCTGGAATGCTGTATTGGGTTTACGCCAAACATGTCCTCTCTTCTGACATCCAAATAATTCAATTTTAGACTCATCTGTCCAAAGAACATTATTGCAGAAGTCCTGGTCTTTGTCTATGTTCACTCTGGCAAACTTCAGTCTGGCCTTCATGTTTCTCTTAGAGAGCAAAGGTTTCCTCCTTGCACACCTCCCATGAAAGTTAAACCTGTGCAGTCTCTTTCTGATTGTAGAGGCATGCACTTTCACATCAACAGTAGCAAGAGCCTGCTGTAGGTCCTGTGATGATACTTAAGGGTTTTTGGAGACTTCTTTTAGCATCTTGCGGTCTGTTCTCGGGGTGAACTTGCTTGGACGGCCAGACCTGGGCTTGGTGGCAGTTGTTTTGAATGTCCTCCACTTGTAGACTATTTTCCGGACGGTGGAATGGCTGATTTCATATTCTTTTGAGATCTTTTTGAATCCCTTACCAGACTCATAAGCTGCTACAATCTTCTTTCTGATGGCCTCAGACAGCTCTTTTGATCTCACCATGGTGTTCACTGTCACTTCGGCAGTCTGGAGCACACCAAACTAAATGTCTGAGGTTTAAAAGGGCAAGCCTCCTTCAAAATGCTGAGTAACGATGTTCTAATCATGTGCACTTAATGTGATACACCTGTGTGTGATTTTAGCCATTTTAAGTGGGAATAAATGTGGGGGTGTCCTAATTTATTCCTCACCAGAAATTGCATTTTTTTAAAATTACATTTTACAGAAAGTTATAAAAATCTTTTCTTAAGTTTTAATTGTTTAGTTATATTACCTGAATCTCCCAGTATTGTTAGTATTGATATTAAATATCCATATGTCCAAAAACACACAGGCTTTCATAGGGTGTCCTAATTTTTTCACGACTGTATGATGATGTGTTATTGTCTTTGCGGGCTCCACAGTATTCTGTCAATCACAGACATACTTGAGAAATTAATTTTAAATGATTTATGAGTGGTAAAATTCCATCACTCTCTTAATTTAAATTTGAGCCATCATTAACCTGTCGATGGTTAATTTAATCCTGAACTGTGAAGCACTTTGTCAGGTTAGTTTCAACATGAACACTATTAATTGCTGGTCATCCTTCTGACATTTAATAATAATAATAATAATAATAATAATGATTGATAAAACAAAATCAGGAGTTATGTGCGGCTTTATAAACCTGACAAAAAGATGTGCGTATTTCCTTCTGTGCGCGCAGTCGTCAGTCTGTTCAGATTCTTATGCATCTGGCCCTCGGTACTTTGTTATGTGTTTTCATGTGTTATTATGTTATGTATTTTGTCTACTTGTTATATTGAACTATGGATAAACAAATAAAAAGGGATGGAAGACGGTGAAAATTGTCAGGTGTCAGTTAATGTGATCACTTTGTCATGTTACATAAATTATTCATAAATACAAAAGCAGGTCCGCTCATCAGAAAATGCTCCTTTTGGAAATTCTAATCATATCACCACGTGATGTTACGAGCAGCAGCCCTTCATCAGACATGAACAAGGTAAGGAGACACACCTCTAATGGTGGTCGCCCAACAGATCATGTGATAACACATGTAGCCATACAGAAACACACTGCAAAACTAGAATACAATTACAAAAAATACACATTTATAAACAGCCAGCAGTGCCTAAAGTATCACCTTGAATATCACACGACTGAAACATCAGGTTAAAAAACTGTCACAATGACATGCAAATTCAAGGTGAAATAGTAGAGGAAGATGTTCTTTAAAAATAAAGGCACCACTAATACTACAGAAAGTAGCAACACTCCACACTACTGAGAAATACCACAGCGGTGTAATAAACAGATCTTGAGCAGCATATAACCTTGATGTTATCTTGATGCATCTTGTTCATATCTGATGAAGGGCTGGTGCCTGAAACATCACGATCAAAATCTCCAAAAGGAGCAGTTTCTGTTGTGCTGACCTGATTTTGTATTTGTTTTTCTGTCCAGTATTTATCGTTTTTGGATGTGCGTGCTGTGTTTTTAAATCTTCACATAACTGATTGTCAGGGACTTAGCAGTGAGGCAAAGAGAAAAAAGGGATTTGGTTGGAAAAATAGGGTTTTATCTACCCCACAAAAAAGCCCAAAACAATACAAACTACTAACTTAGTAACTAGGCCTGTAAAAGAGGTCAAACAAATAGAACTATACACAAAATAACAGCAACAAAACACAGCAACTTAACAGTTGAAACATGAGGGAACATATGTATATAGTGGTTTGGCAGGAAAAACACAAAGCTACACAAATCCCCCCCTCTGACATGGCAGTAAATGGTATGGTCTGATATGGTGGCCACATTTAGAGTGAGTGTGTGGATATTACCACTTCTGCTTTTACTTTGTGTGGCCCTGGCCACCACAATGATTCATGCAACAGCTTAATTTCCTCAACGATGTACAAGTGTCTTTGCTGTCAATAAGGGTGTGTTAACCTTTTCACAGCAGACATTTGACTAGTCATAGCAGGAAAAGCACACGCGTCACTGTGCATCAAGTCAGCAATGGCTTTGATGTATTTAAGTGTAATTAGTGATAGTGAGTCAGCATTTCCTACTGTGACATGTCAAAAAAGGCCTTATATTAATTAGTTTACTCCTTTAAAAGCCTAACAGTGTTGGCTATGAACCCTGGTCCCGGTTCAGATAGGGTGGTATCAATTCACATTTCAAGATGAGATCATTAAGCCACACGCCAAACCCTACAAAAACTGTATGCAAGAACAAATCCATACTGACACAGGACAGCATTAATATCTCACTTGATAAGTTCGAAGACCACCAAAATCTAATCAGTTCATCCTCGAGTCTAAGTGCTCTTGAGATCCTGTATTCACACTTAAGATGTACACAAATAAGTATAGACAAACCGAACATGTAGTGCCTCCGGCCATGGCTGTTACCGACAGTCATCTTATGGACATTTGTAGTGAGTGAAACGGGTGCTTTAAATCATAGCGCAAACAAGGGAATCAGCTCTAAAGGTGTAGAAGACAAGGTGTTATAGAGAGTGCATTGTCAAGAAAAGGTGCACATTTCCTGTAGATCCACAGTATCTTATTTGATACCATCATTACTAACACGTGAAAACCAGTAATTTCTCTACTGAGATACACCACTAGGAAACAATGTGAAACTAACAGAGCAACAGTGACAAATGAATAAGCCCTTTAAAATTGGGTGATAAACTGTGGTCTGTGGTCTTTGCAAATATAGCAGACAGTCATGAAATAATTCCATACTGAACTCCTAATATCAGCTTTTATTTACTGCTTTTTAAGTAGAGGAGTGATTTGAAGTACCAACCACTACGATATAAGTCTCGGGCAGTCCCAGAACTCGTCTAACGTGTTTTAAGTAGTTTTCTTTATCCATAGACATAATGGCTGTTTCATCTGTTTTGTAAGGGTTCAATCTTCTGTTAGCCGACATATAAGTAATTTCTTCCTTTCACTTTTTGTTACTGTAGACACATTGATATGTGGACATAAGAAAATGGAGATCAAACTGCCAACCCTGTGATACATAATGTGTAGAGTCATCAGGGCAGAGGAATGGACCATTGTACTCTGTGTGTACACTCTTAATCACCGGCCCTTGTGCACATAGTTGTGAATAAAAACACATGCACAATTGATTTATGGTATTGTGTTGACCTTGAAGTGCTCGTCTTTACTTCTGTATGCCACCCACTTTACGCTCCAAACTAAACCTCAACCCTATCTATCATACAGTAGTGTCCTGACTCTGGAAGTGCAAACAGGGAGCTTGTGCAGGACAGATCTGCAGTGAACACATGCACCGTTCCTCAGCAAGCAAACTGGCAACAAACTTTTTACAGTTGATTGATATTTTGTGGATTCAGTGATTTGAAGTCATGCAGCCCAGATTTAGAAAAAATGTTACAAGCACAGACACTTACAGCTCACAAACAATCACAAAGTTTGTAACACATGTATTTTCTATACATCGTACTCCAACCCATCACAATATTAGGTCACAGGCATGCCAATATAAACACGCACAGACATGTTGGATGACACATTGTTCTACAAATATGCTGCTGATTGTCCTTTCCTTAAAAAGACGAATATATTGCTTTAATTTGAAAGCATACTTGATTATAAGAAACAAACAGTCACTCAATATTTATTACCTTCTCAAGTTTAGGAAAGACTTGTTGTGGATTTCACTCAGATAGCTTGATGCCAGACCTCTTTGAAAATAGCCATGTCAGCTGTTCCTTTGCCAAAATTTAGCCTAATTCTGGAGCATTACTAAGCCCACTTCCTGTCATGGTT